ATTCCTGCTCGGGGCCCCTCTGACAAGTGCTAGCATGATCTGCTCTGTAATACACGGTTGTGAGTCCATATACATAAAAGCATCTTTCTTCCGTAAGGGAAGAATGGCAGCACTGAAGGTCAGAATTAGACAAAAAGTAAATGATTTTATTTAAAACTGCACTTTTGAGATCTGCAGTTGTTCTGCACAAGCTACAATTTGTGTTCCTCTGCCCATGTCCTGGGATGAGTTTCTCAGTTGTGGAGCATCCCTATAAGGTGATTGTTCCCAGCTCCTGTTATCATTTACTGTCTCGCCACCTCTTTCCCCCAACAGAAGGGTGTGGAATGATGCAATGAATAGCAACCGTGACGTGGAAGAACTAACAGGTAGTAAGGAGACTTTGTGGTCTCAGTTTTCCTTATTTCTGTCCTGGTTTCGAACTTGAAAAGACACAAAGCCATTATTTTTCAGTATTTACTCTGGTAAATGTTTGATATAGATAGCTTTTTCAGATATCAAGGGAACTGAGAGATGCGTAATATAAATTGTACAATTGTCCGTTGTCTGAAATAACCTCTTCACAATTAGCCATTCCAGATGCCTTATGTAAAAACTAGAAATCCTTAGTTGAACTGTCAAGCTTTGGCAGATGTTTAACTTGAGCACTACTACGTGTCCTCATGTGAAGTTAGCATGGTTAAGGCTAATGTGAGTGTTATAAACGTTGCTTCTGTCTTCCTAAATATTTTGCATGGCAGATAGAATTGCACCAGCAACAGAAAACAGACATGGTATAAATATGCAACATATTGGAGGTACTTATAACTTGGTGGGACATATACATTGGTTTTCAGTTGACCTAGTGATGCAGTGAGAAACTTCACAAATTTCTTGTTCAGGATACTTAAGCACGATTTCTTTTTTTTTTTTTTTGGGGGGGGGGGGGGAAATAGTGTGTGATGGTAGTTAAAACTGTAAAAATTAAACAAGTTGAAACAGTTTGAACTATGCAGAACAGTTTGTGAACTAGAAAAAAGTAATCAAGGTTAGCTTGTCTGTTACTGACTGGGAACAACCTGCACATCTGTGGCAAGTTGTGAGAAATGTAAGACTCCTGTTTCATGCCAGATCCACTGTTTGGTGTGAAAGTGGCAGCTTTCCGCTCTGATTACAAAAGGCTAATTGGTATTGACCAGCTTTTGGAAATATGAAAGAATGTGAGGAAAGTTGTCCCGTTCGTCTCAGCAGTTCCTGAAAAGATCGTGATCAGAATGAAATAATTATGTATCTGTTTCTGACTAGCATAAAGCCAGTCTGTGTCACATTTCTAGCCTTGTAGAAAGAGACTCTGAAATGCTACATAACTTCTTTGTGAGAACTTCTGACTGGATGTATTCGTGTTTCACCATTCATATGAAAAAAAAATAATGTTCTTGGATAATTTCTAATTAGGAGTATGTGTCTATACCCTGTCTAATTTCTGCAGTACCCTGTCTAATTTCTGCACTTCCAGTACCAGAAGGGCAGGGACATCCTGGGGCAAGCCCAGCAGAAGATTAAGGGCTTGGAGCATCTCTCATATGAGGAGTGGCTGGGAGAGCTGGGACTGTTTAGCCTCGAGAAGAGAAGGCTTAGGGGGCCTTATCAATGCGTATAAATACCTGATGGGAGAGTATAAAGAATATGGAGCTGGATTCTTCTCAGTGGAATCCAGTGAAAGGCAAGAGGCAGTGCAGACAAACTGAAGAAATTCTATCTAAGGCAAAAGTAAAAACTTTTTTTTTACAGTGAAGGTGGTCAAGCACTGGAAGAGGTTGCCCAGAGAGGTTTTGGAGTCTTTGTCTTTGGAGGTATTCAAAACCCAACTGGACGTGGTCCTGAGCAACCTGCTTTAATTGTCCTTGCTTTGAACTGGGAGGTTGGATCGGATCTCCAGACGTTCCTTCCCACCTCAACTAGATTTTTCAGAAGGCAAAATTAATCACAGAATCCTAATAATCCAGAAACAGTGGTAAATCAAAACAGGAATGTAAACATTAGGAAATTAGGAAAAACTACCAAAATTTCAGCTGTGGATGAACCCTATCAAAGGTACTCATCTCAGAAGAAAGTTACGTTACAAAGATGACTGATAAATTTCACAAATTATACTTTTTTGAGCTAGATCGAATTTTCCTCTAATAATTAATGTTTCAAAGATCAAGATTTCATGCTACCAGTACTGCTAATAATTCTGAATATTGCTATAGCTATTCATTCTGTCTTACCTTCAGATTTAGTTTCAGATAGATTTGCAGTTTTCTACAGCTAGGCAATTCTGGGCGTAGATAAAAGGAGAAGAAAACATGACATCTGTTACCTGAAATACAGTGGTTCTTTGACATTTAGAGCCTTCCATGGATCAGGTTTGATTATGACCTTCAGGTATCCTAAAAATCCTGACAAATTTCACATGTCAGATATGAGAATCCCGGCTGCAGTGCTCTTGCGTTGTGCTGTACAATATGAATAAGAGAGAAAAGCTGAAGAAAGACCACCTTTTGGTCCTGGTACCAGGTCTTCATATGTGTCCATCTTGCCTATCAGTTTGGGCTTAAAACTGAAGTAATCTATCTCTCTTACAGAAATAGAACTATATTCTATTAACATATACCGTATTCTATTATCTGAGGTAAAACTTACAGTTTAGCTGTCTTGAAAGTTCTGACCGATATCAAGTATTTAGGTAGCATGAGCTTGAAACTACCTTCTGCTATTCATAGTGCTCCCAAATTCTTGATAATATACTTCCTACATGAAGTATAATTTTACTTCTGTTAGACTAGGGCCTCTAGTTGCTTTTGTCTCAAGTCTAGTATGTCTTCATTGGTATAAGTTTGGCAAACAACTGTTGTTGTTTTAATTCCCTAGGTAAGAATCAAGAAATATTCTTATTTTTTAGTCAAAGTCTAATCTTCAAGAACATCGACAATTCTTGATGGAATATTCACTTCTTGTATGAGTCTTGATTCCAAAAACTGTGGATTTTTTTTTAGCTAATACCGAATCCTCCCTCTCTTTCCCCCCTAATTTTTTTGCCAGAATAGTTCTTTGTACCTTTTAAACAATGGTTTTGCTTTATTGAGAGAACAGAGCTATTGTTTCGTTGTTATGTAGGGATCTTTTGAAGTATGCATGCAAATATATCTGCTTATTTGGAGATTTTTCTTTTGTTAGAAACGAAGAGGTTTCTAAACAGCCTATCCTGTACTTGCCAGCTCTTTGAAAATAAAAATGAAAGAGATGCAGGTTTTGGTTATTGATATTATAGAGTTTGTTCGCTTTGGTAATCGGTGCTCCCCCGCCCCAAAAAAATGTTTAACGTGATCTGTAATTTGATCGAATACACTTAAATAACCTACCTCCTAAAATTTCCTTTGGTTGAGGGGACTTGTGAACAGCGCATTTCACAGCTGCTAATGACCAACAAATCTGTACATGCCCCAAATTGTAAGCAGACTTAATCTCTTACCAGTCTCTGGACCATTACAGTTTCGGAGGAGAGAGGAGAAGAAAACAGAAAGAAAAGAAAGATTTAAATTATCAGGGGATCATTTTCCTATTGGAACTATTTTTCTATTGGAGATATATTTTATGAATGTTTGGTAAGGCAATGCGAGTGTACTTTTGTTTTTAAGTCTAAATATTCTTCCCTGAAGTTGCTGTGGTGTCATTAGGTTTCTAAAATGATAACGACCATAACTTATATGAACTGTAGATAATTAACATTATCAGAGAGAACAGAGTATTAATTTTTGATGCCTAATGTTCTTAACTTGCCTTAACTGCTTTGCAGAATAAACTGTTCCTCAGTTTGATACAACTGAGGATAAGGACATGTACCTTTAGAAACACTACTGACTTCAGTTGGTCTCTGAACATAATTAGATTTAAGTAATATTAACTTCAATCACTATTTCATTTTTTGGAAAATTCTGCTTGTGTGTGTATACACGCAAATAATGCATATGCAGTGAATACAGCGGTTAATATAAAGGTGCAGACATCCTGTGCTAGTTATTCTTATGCAGATAGTTTGGCATTGTTCTCAACTATGACTACCGGAAATCTTGATTTACTAGCTGTTCATATTTTTAACAGGAAGACAGTGATCCAGCAGTTCATGAAAGCCTTAGCATAGAAAATACGTTATGGGCAAGCACTGTTGTGGCTTCAGGTAAGTGCTGCAATATCAGAGATGATAACGTATTTTAAAACTCCTCTGTGGAAGTATGTCTTTATTTTACATTGTGAAATATTAATGAATTTTGAAAATCTTTGTGTGTCTCTGGCTATTAATCCCATGCTGCTTTGCTGTCTGCCTTCCTATCAGTCACCTCATGCTATTCACCATGTTTTCATGTCTTCCTAATCCTCCTTAATAGTTTTTTATACTTAAATTTTGCTGTTTCAGTTGAGCTGTCCCTTGTACCATAACTGAAGCCATTGACCTTTCTGTCTTAATTAAAACTTCAGGTTATAAAGCTCTTTGTTTAGCTCAATGTGGATAGTATCATGCTGAAGAGCAAGCATGGTTCTGTATGTATTAGAATTTTTCTTTTATGTGGACTGTATGCGTAGGGTAGAGCTTGCTGAAAATCTGTTATCAGTGGAAATCTTAATCAGAAGCTATGAATTGGTTATAGAATTATATAACTTCATTGAGAGGTGCACAGGAATTACTACTGATGTTTAGACTCCATTGTTTTAATGAGTTCACGTCAGGTACTGTATTTAGGTACTAAGCCGTTGTAACCTTTCTTTTTTAAGAGCCGACGATTTTTCTTCCAGTGTTTGCTCTATATAAGAAGAGTCGAAAGGACTGTAGAAAGGGCTGTAGCTATTCTTCTGCACAAAAGGACCGAGAATAACAAATTGGGAGAGCATGATTTCTGAAAGGGAGCTGGGATTTAAAATGGAGAATCAGAATGATTGGAACCATTTAGCCAAGAGGAGCATATGGAAGGAGGAGTTAAAAATAAGAAGGATTTGGAGGGAAACTGGAACTAACTTCAAAGGAGAAGTCTTTAAGGAGAAGCCTTCAGAGTGGAAACTGACTTTGCATTGGTGAGGAGAATCTTAAGATAGACATATGCTGGAGGGTTATGAGGAAGTGTTTTGAGTCTAAGGAGATGGCAGAGGAGACTGAGCACTGCTTTCCAGAATCTGAAAATATCCTGGTATTCTTTGCTCAGCATTGTTTGGTTTTATCTGCAAATAATTTGAGTTTCACTAGGAAACTATTCTCTCTAAAATTGTTCTGTCAAATTTGACAATCTTACAGTTGTCATCTGTTAGGTTGTTAACTTAAGTAGCCAGGATTTTTAAACATGCGTAAAAAGATTCTGCTTATAAATTTAAAATTTCAATACTGTGTAAACTTGTTTTTTCTTTGCTTTTTCTCAAACTTAAACGCAGGAAAAATTACATTCAAGGAGTATACGTCTGCAAAATCAGTATTTCTGAAGCTAGGAAATACTGACGTTTTTCCTCTTGAAAACTGTTGCTGTTTTCATTTTGGGGATGGGTGATTTGATTTTGTTTTAAAATGTAGCCAGAGTCTGAGGGCTGTTGAACTGACTCTCTGAACCTGGAACCCAAATTAGTGGTAACGTGAGTCCTTAATATTTATGCCTTAGCTCACCACCTGAAAGAATATGAGATAAAGATATTGTCACTTTTTGTCTTAGGCGTGTTGTGAAGATTTAATTGTTCATGAAAGACGGGTTCGTTATTAACAAGGGCAATAGAAAAACATATGAGAAGATAAAGAATTCTTTTGTCTGAACATGGTTTTAAATAGTGTGATAAGACTCTTAAGGGTGACTCAAGGCAACTTATTGAAACGTTACAAAGTTAAAACAAAATATTGAATGGCTCTTCAGATCACAGCCCTTTCTGAAGATAAAAAAAATACCATGATCTTGTAATTAAAAATGGTGTCATAGGATGCATACACACATTGATTGTATTAAGGTTGCTCAGGAAGTTTACATTTTTTGCATAACTGATATGCAAAATCAGTTATGCAAAAATAATAGCATGAATGTCTTGTAAATCTAAACTTTGGCCTATATTCGTTCCATACATGTCATCTTATATATTAAGCACAATTTATTGCTGTGATAAAGTGCTGCTCTCAGGTACTGCAGTTGTCTGGCATATACGATTTCTATTGGACATTTGCTTGTTCTGTATGGTGTCTTAAATCCAGATCTTAAGACTTGCTCAGAAACTCTGTGGAGGTAATTTTAGCATTTGACAGGATTAGACCTTTAATGAATAGTGGTAAATGATTTGTCTTCAGTCTGTAGTTTTTCTAATTGAGAATTTATAAGTTCTTATAGGCGCCCTGAGCATATAATTGTGAAGATGACCATAAGGCAGAACAATCAGGAGATTGTTAAAACTAAAGGTATTCTAGTTTTGGTAGTAGCTGATGTATCATTCAGTTGTTTTAGTTTCACTTCTAAGGTGATAGGTACATAGCCAAGTTAGGATTCTTGATGCTAAGCTAATATAAATTTGAATTTTATAGTTTAAAAAAAATAGATTTTATAATTGAATTTCCAAGATTTGTGACAGCTGTGACAAAAAGTGTTAATAAAATGCTTGTCACTGGTGATAACAGCATTTTAAACCGCCTTGCTTAGAGCATGCGGTGTCAAGATTTCAGAGGCAGAAGCTCCTTATATAAGTTTGCAAGTACCTCTGCTTCCCACGTACACACCATGGCCTGTTACAGTCCTTGATAATATCTGCAAGGTTTAACAGAAGATTGTTTGCCCACCAAGACTGTGGGCAACTGCCATTTATATTCCAGGAAACCAGAAGGATAAGCATCTGGTAGCATGTAAGGGAAACTGTGCTATTTCTTTCCTGAAAGTCCACTATCTAGATTGCTCCCTTGCTTCAGTCCCTCTTGCATCTTATTTCAGTCTGGTTACAGTCTGGGCTCACAGCTTTGTGGAGTCCAAGTTCTTTTCATCCAAAAGCATAGGATGCAACATTGCCGATGCATCATTTATGTTATGCCTGTCCCATAGGGCATTCTTTATGGCCTCAGAGTTTGGGGGTCCGGTTTGCCCAGTACTCTTTGTAAGCACCTCGAGCATCATCTGTTAACAAGCACAGCAAGTACATCACTTATGTGACCCACTGCACTTGAGGCTGCTATGATGCCCTTGCTGACCCCTTGGAGGTTGTTATAAAGCATTTGGGGTCAACCCAAGCTGTTGTCTTGGCTGCTGTTATCTGCCTCCAGTGTGGAGACAGGGGACTTTTGTCACAAACACCCAGGAAAGGCATATGAAGCTGAGGTGCAGATATAAAACCTACATTTAATTTTAAAGAAGATTTTGTATAGGGAGAAGGAAAAATGTGGGGCAGGAGCTTCTTTCTTCCTGATTTTGAGTATTCTTTTTACTGTGTATATTCTTAAAGATGCAAGATGACAGATTTCTTATGTGTAGAGGCATCACAGTGGATGTTATGATGCAGTTGCTAGGCCTCAGTTCAGCTGCATGTTTGCCTTTTTGCCTACTATAAACTTGTACAGTTTAGAAGGGAAATATGTAGGTTTCACAGTATTAGGTACGAATAACATCTTACATGACAGAAGATCGGGCAGCAGTAAGGACAAGAGGAGACCAAGAATGTTATCTGAGGAGTGACTAAGTTGTACAAGAAAAAGCAGGAGGAAATATTATTTTTTACAGAATCCCCACTGCTTTATGCCATGGGTGATTTGCTGCGTTACTTCCATTAAGCTTTTTCCTGGATGTGCCCCTTCTTCAGTAGAGTGTTTTTCATCAGGCTTCTTCTCTTCCCTTGTCCTCAGTGCTTTTTCTTTTCAAAGTCTTCCTGTCCTCACACATAGATACTCCTCTCCCAGCTTACAGAATAAGGGTAGGTAAGTGGGAGGCAGAAGGAAGAAAAAGCGATGGAGTAGTGCTCGCAAGTATTACCTTTGTCAATCTGCTGGGTAGTGGGTTTAGCTTGTTCAGCCATTGCCAAGCCTCTGTATTAATCTGAATTTACATCTTAAGGGAGATCTTTGTAGAGGATCAGGACTGTGGGGCAGAGATCTGCTAGACTTTTTCCTCCAAGCTTTGCCCTTTGTGCTTCTAAGAAGCCCTTTCCTTGAAGCCCCTATTTCTCAGCCACATCCCATTTTCCTTCTTTCAGTGTTTAAACGAATACTGAATTTCCTGGCATATTTGACGTATTACATAAAACACATTGCGTCAGCCAGGAGAGCCTAATATCCCCCAGGTATGTGCCGCTACTATTAGTCGAGGTGATAGGGAGCGTCGAGGTCAGGCTAGGAAAAGTGTTAGGGGAATTAGGTGGGGAGTACCTCACAAAACTTCAGCTCTGGTTGCTGATGTCCTAACAGTTTCAGAGGAGAGAGGCCACAGATCAATAATCTGGCAGATCAGGAACAGTAAACTTGAGTAGGTAAAGGATTCAATAAATCGTATCAACTCTGTTGCATCCAGAATGCCAAAGCTCATGAAAATACCGGGATGCAACAATAAAGGGATCTATGCAAAAACAGAACCAACAGGTTCTACTGCTAGAGCAGTATGAGTCCCAGGAAAAATACTTACTATAATTTAAGGCTAATTTTATTTTCTTTTTGACCTTTTGGAACCAAACATTTATTTTTCACAAAATTTTGTACTGTCAAATCGAGAATAAAAATCTGTGCTACCTTTTTATATCTGCAGATGAAGTTAGGGAGAGAGTAAGATTTCTCAGATTTGTGTGTTTGGGAGGTGTTAACTTTAACTGGTTTTAGTATTCTCTCCTAACCTCTTAGAACAAAAGCAAGCTAAATTAAAAACCATTTGTAACATAATTTTGTCACACCTGGCATGTTTTGTATTACACACCCCGATGTTCTAGTCTCAAAACTAAAAGTTTAGATACACAAATGGAGTTCATTATTACTACCAAATTTGAAGTGCTTTCTGCCCCTTGCTATAGTAAAGCCCTAACAGACACTTGGATGTGTGCAAATGTTTATCTGAAGTGCAGGAAGTACAAAGAACAATTTGCTGGAAGCATTTGGCAGAGCTGGAAATCAAAACCTGTCTCTCGAGGCCAAAGCATACAGCCATCCTTGTGGTGTTCTTAAAGGGGACGGCAAAATGCATTCCAACCTTTTTCCACTTACAGGCAGCATCCCTATGAGTTTTAAAATGGTAGCAGCAAGAGGAGGGTTGTGTGCGCCATTCTTAATGCGCGTGTGCATTATTGCTGTGGAATTCTCACTGTTTAGACATGGTTTGTTTCTTATGACATTTAAGTCATATGATCATTGAAAAATCTGGGAATTCTGGGAGTTGATTTATTGTTGAACACTGTCTCTTTTGCATGCTGCTGATCTACGTTTCAAGCCATCTTTAAATAAGTGAGTTTTCCATTTGCTTGCTAGAGGTTATGCTCTTTGCTTTTTAATAGTCCCTGAAGGAAAGGAGTTTTTGGTTAGGGAATACTTTTAAAAAAGTGCAATCACTGAAGAAACGACTTTAACTGTAACGGAAGAATTTAAAGCATTAAATGTTTTCAAAACCTCTTAGATTACCTTTAATTAAATTACAAATCATTCAAATAGTTTGTTTGTGACATCACTTATTGTGGTGTTTGTTTTATTTTTGGTAGATTTTTCTTTTGAAAAGGGAGAGAAGAAGTCATCAGTTAAGTTTTTAAGTGCCAAAGGTCTCACTACAGTATGGAGTTTTCCTTTGTGCTCTCCATTTACTGCAATGATCAATGTGTCCCAAACTGCTAAACAAGATAATGCTATTTTCTGAGACCTGCTGAGAGATCTATTAAGAAGAGAGTTATATTAACGGAAATCTGTGATCATTTGGGCAGGTATCAGTTTTGCAAAGTCACTTCAGATAAAAACAGAACAATTTATATAATTGCACAACTGCAAAAAAGCACTGTTTTGTGCCAGGTTCTGCACATGACTTTAATGAATTTGAGCACTCTTGTTTTTATATGCTTCACATAGTTTTTGATATCACCAAAGAGCATGATTGCATGCTGGATTCAGAGTATGCCTGATTATTGGTGTGTCATTCTACACCACCTCCTTTTTCACCTCTTTGTCCAGGCCCACGTGTTTATTCTAGTGGTGTCACTAGTCATAATACATTTTACCTAATGTCCATCTTTGAAACCAACTTTTCGAGCAGTAAAAAAGCTTAGAACAGTGCTGTTTCTTATATTTTGTTTTTCTTTCTGAGCTGCCCCAGAGTAGCTTATTGAAACTCCTGAGGAAAGATTGATTTTTTGGGGAGTGGGGGGTTTTGAAAATCCATGTATAGTATGATTCAGTACGGTTGTGAAAGATGACGGGAATCAGGTTGCAAGATACCTTCAAAATAAAGTGCTCCAAACAGATTTTGGGCATTGGTTTGCAGATCAGTAGAAGGAGCTCAGAAATTACGTATCAATGATTAATTTTTTTATGACAATTAGAATTTGGAGTGTTTGGGGGGCATGTTACCTGTATACTAATGTACAGATCCACGTGTGGAGCTGTCAACAGAGGCAAACTAGTTTGGGGGAAAATGTTGTGTCAAAGGAAGTGTTAAGAAGACTTAATATGGAGACAAAAATAATAGCAAAACTGATTTCTAATGGTCCAAAAGATATAAAGTATAATCACTATTTGTATGTTGTATGTGAATTCAAGGCTTTTACTTGCATTTTCACTTTTGAGTAAATGAGACTTCCTTTAACATCAGCATCATTACCTTTCATCTTTTGATCTTTGTGCTTTATATTTTCTTTCAAATTGTTATTGCCTGTTATACTGTAGAAATAGTGATAGCAGACCTTATGTATGGTCCTGATTACAATAGACAACTTAATGTCGGACAAAAGTATAATACCTCTACCCTATAAAACTTTCTGAGCAGTGTGGTGCTGACAAGATACACTATTTTTGTTTTTTGTTTTCTGGGATAAAGAAGACTGAAATTGTCACATAATTGGTTGAATTTCCATAAGACAATTTCAGATCATCTTAAAAAAATAATAATAAAAAATAAAGCAAGGATTTTGTGTTACGCCGCAAAGAGTGATACTAGAATATTAATAAAAATCTAAGTTTTTCTTTAATAAAGAAATTAATTTAGTGATGCTGAAACCAGGTTTTGCTATATCATCAGGTAAAAATTGTTGACTTAAAGATAATTTGACCTGAAGAATCATTTTTATATTAATAAATAGGTGACTGTTTCTTTATGGGATTTTATGAAGGTAATGAAAAGGGTAGACTGAATTTTATGTCACTCTAGATGACGTAGCAGGCAATCTGTGTCCAGTGTGTATTCAGCACCATGGTATTCATTTTGAATGAAAGGCAGCTATTTCTACTGTATGTTAATATTCCCAAAATAGTTTGAGACAGTTTTAAGTTTTAAATTTTTAACCAGTTACATTTAAAGTGCTATTCCCATTGAAAAGAATGAAAGCAGGTTGTCATTCTATGAATGTTAACTTTTAAAAAAGTGATAATGATCCTTTATTACAGAGTGTGGGGAAAAAAAAAACCATTCATGATACTATATACATTGTATAAATGTCTGATTTTTTTCTTATAAATTTGATTTGTTTGAAGGACTGTAAACTACTGCAGGTTTTTATTCTGCTAACTTTTTTCTTAGCTACTTCTTTGACACCTCTGCTTACCTTTATTCTCCTCCTCCTTCCCAGGAACTGTAATTGGTGTTGTCATTTACACAGGGAAGGAGACTCGAAGTGTAATGAACACATCCAATCCAAAAAACAAGGTAAGTTATGCTTGCTTTGTAATCTGTTACTTTTGTTTTCCTAAAACTTGAAATAGGCATACCTAAACCCAAAGACCTACTAACTTTTATTCTGATGTATTTCATGGGTGCTGGATTGACTTCAACTTTTTGGTATTAGAAGCAAATTCTGCTTAGGAGGCTAAATTATTCTGGCTCTCTTTTCAGAAATAAAATTATTTTTAGAGGTCCTGTTTCATTTAACTAAGAATGATATAGGTATTAATGAAAATATTTGTTATCTAAGTATAAATGTGCATCCTCAGAGTTCTATACTTCTGTATCACAGCTAGTTATTAATTCCTGCTTTACAGAAAAAAAATTGAGAGAAGTATTTGACCAGGACTGCACAATATTTTTAAGGAATGTTAATAACGCTTAGACTACTAAAAGTTATACTGACTCCCAGGAGAAGAACAGCGAGATAACTGAGGTTCTGGTCAGTACCCAGAATGATCTTCTAGGGATTTTTTACTAGCAGTGGAAATATCTTCAAGAAATTTTTCCACCAGAGAGATGCCAAAAGTTTGAGTGCTTCCCTCTGTATGAGGTTCTTTCAGTTCAAAGCAATGCAAATAGCTCTTTGTTTCATCAGCAATGTTTCTAATGTGAATATGGGGGGAAAAGAGCCTCAATTATGAAGATATAAAACTTCAGTTGTAGACTGTATCTTACAGCCTAGATCTATGTTTAGTAAGAAGATACTTAATTAAGAAAGGAAAAAATTCTTGTAAGAGGTTTTAAAAAAAATCAATTGTGACAGGTTGCCATTTTCACACCATTCATAATAAGCCAGTCTGAGTGGGAACATCAAGAATGAAATGATAATACAAATTGCTTGAAGTAGTTATTGCAGTCCCCTGAGTGTATTGATTTGTGTTTCTAATAAAGAGATGCTTTTAAATGTCTCATTGACAAAGACAGGTAATATGTGCAATTATGTGGATTAAAATGGCCTTTTATTATTTTAATCTTTGCAACATACATTTTAAAATAGTGGAGTAAAATAGAATCAGAATGCTTATGGAGTATAATTTTCTCTTCTATCTGATAAAAAGTTGAGCCCTTTAGTAAAAGAACAGTTCTTTAAAAATTTTGAATAACTTTTGACTAATAAATAATACCTCTCACAGGTGTTTAAAATGAAAAAATATAATAAAGTGATAGAGGAGTTTACGTAACTGTAACATGCTTTACAGAAATTCGAGACTCTGAAGGGATATTAGGTTTTTAGTAAATTCTTGTCACAGTTTTTTGCATTAATGTTTTACATAGAAAAATGATAAAGGATAACATGATTTGCATTTAAAATCCCCTGACGGTTTAGAATGGCTGGTAATATTAAAATAGTTGCTCTAAATTTTTTGTCAGCAAGAGATTAAGCAACAGATAAGCCTACAATAAAAGAGATCGGATAGCATGCTGACAAGCTGCAGCATGGGTTTTCGTGTTATGACAATGTGTGTGCTGCCTTCACTTGCATAGTGCGTTAATATTAACAGCTGCTAACAATTAAAAGTTGTGGTCTTTCATCTGCAATGTGAACATAAATAAATGGATAATTTTCATGAAGCATTAAAGAAGCAAAATGCAACACCGCCTCCCCCGTGCTGCCAAAATCTTAATAACGTCTGGGATATTTTGCAATATCAGTGGAGAATATCTAAATCAGTTAACTTTTGGACACTTAAAAATCATGCTTTTAAATAACTTTTCATCTGCAATTGATAAGACAGGTGATGCTTGTATAAATAAGCTCTACTAATTAATTATCTAAAGGATTTTTGAGGATTCGTTAATCTTCTAAGGTATGGGATACTCTAGGTATATACATTTGTTCTTCAGAGATACTTGGTCCATTGTTTTGTACCGTATTTAGCTGCTAAGAATCTACTAAATGCGAAGAATGAAGTTTAATATCATATATATAAAATGACCTGCTTTAAATGTCTGTCTTATTAGTTGCTCTATTAAATATTTCAAAAATTCTAACATTAGCTTCAGACTATTTTGAAGACTGCTCATCAACCATCTTTCACATGAATTTGTAAATGTGAAAATGAGTTGTGTGTGTTTTTTCCCCTTCCTGGCTGAATATCCTTATTCAAGCAGTAGCCTACTACACAAGTAGTATGACAAATAAGTTCAGTTCCCAAAGCTGTCCTTAATATCACAGAAAACACTATTACCGTCACAGATGAGTAAGTGATAAAATGCAGTATTTCAGTTTAGAAGGTAATTGTCAATCTAGTGTACGTTTTTACATGTATTAACTCTACCTTTTTGTGAAGTTAGCATGTTACTCTATCTGCGTTTTCTAGCACGGGGCGATATTGGTTTACATGCTTTTAGAAGATCAGACATCTACTGTCTGCAGGTACTATTCTGTGCTGGTTAGCTATGTTGCAGGTAGCAGAGCAAGCAGAGCAGCTGAAGTCAGTTCTTTCCTCCTGTCTGGATGTGGCAGAGGGAATCTTTCTGTACTTTCTCAAGGGTGATAATAATGTTTACCTTGGGTAGGATATTTAGTGTTAGGAACCAAAAGGAAGGCAAATGGAGTCTTAAATAATTAGTCTTTGAAATTAGAAGGGATATTAAGTTGAGAGATTAGAGTCAAACAAAAAATCTGCACCAAACTGTTGCTGAAACAGCTGAAATTAAATTGATCATTTGTATTGCTGCAAACTCCAGAGGAGATAAGTCTAAGTCTGCCTTCTCTTCTGCTCTAAAGAATTCTTCCAAGTATTGTTTGGGGATAGTTTTTAAAGTGCAGATATATTCTAGAGATTTGGTTGCCAAATGTATTGATATGCATTTAGTGGTGCTCCTGTCTTTGGAGTTTGGGAGAAAGCAAACACTGAGATCTGAGAGTCTCAATTTATGCTGCCAAACTGAAACTTCAATGGCAAGGAACTAGCAAGAAATATATGGGCATGTAGCTTTCATTATTCAGCTCTTCACTGAAATACAATTGTAAGATAGATGTTTCAATCCTGTTTCTTATTGGAGCATAACATTGCTGCTGTACTTTGTACTATAAACTGGGTTTCTCTGGGAAATTTGCAAGCTTACTTGTTCTGTAAGTGCTGAGCAGAAGACTAAAACTGAAGTAAGCTTAAGCAATCTTAGGTATCAAAAACTGTGAGATGTACGTACCTGTTCAAGTAAGCAGTTTGTCTGTATCTTAGAATTTATTGTGTTTGCTGAAGTATTTAGTCATTCAGGCAACAATTTTCTTAACTTAAAGTCAACACTTTTGTTTTATTACAATTATAAAAATTGTTTCATTGCCTAAGGATGCAGACACGGTCTGAAAAACACAGAGGGAGAAGAGAATTTTCATAATGGATCAATTTAATATGTTTTTAATTCCAAACAATATAAAGAAAAATTATTTCTGGCAAGGTTTAATTTCAGTCTAAAATGATATACATTTGTGCTTTAGATAAATGTAGAAGTGGTAACATCAACGTTATTGTAGTTTAATGAGTCTGTGCATTCTACCTCATTGGCAGTCACATCAGCTTACTATGGAATGCAGTTCCAGCCTTAAAAAAAAGGAAAAAAAAAATCAAATTGAATTGTGCTCTTCACAATGCCGTAATCAGTAATCAATCCTATTTGGATAGATATTTTTAAACCTGGGCTTTCTGGATGAACTTGGACTTGTCAATGCTAAAGGTCATTTATATGACCTTTAACACCTGTTAATTAACCAAGGGGGAAATTAACAAACTAAGATTATTTATTTATTTAATCTGGCATTTTGCAATGTCCTCATTCTTCCTCTTTAAAGCGTAGAGCAATTTTTAACTAAATTCATAACTGCTTTTGCAGTCTTGGTCTTCATAGTAAGCAACTTTGCTAAGACAGCATGTCTCTGAAAGTAGACCTGTATCCGTCAGTGGAAACAGATTTTGCGGGTAAAGGTAAAAAAGCAAGATGTGCTTGGAGGGAGGAAGAAGGAAATGAATTTGAGGGAATATATTTTGCATACTAAGACTGAAACATTAAAATAATTTGACTATGCAGTAAATACATATTCAGAATACATACATTGAGATGCATCAAAATGAGTAGAAATTTATTATAGGTAGAACTACTGAGAAATGGGTAGGGACTTTTAAGGAGATACAGCATTCAATCTGCCTGATGTGCTTCAGATTAGTACAAAAATAGTTCTTATTTTGCTAATCCTTGTAAGGAGCATTCAAAACTTTTTTTTTTGCCTGATGTGGAAACCTGCATCTGCTGTACTGTTTTAATATCAGATGTAAAACTTCATAGTAACTATTCAGTGTTCATTAAAATAGTAACATTGTTTATTTTCCCTAATTGTTAGCTAGCCTGAAAGCTAAACACTGCATGTCTAGTGGCTGGTGCTTTGCTGATTTGTAAAATTTTTTTAAATTATTTTTTAAAGATGAAAATCTAAGAACTGGTATTGCTTTCTGCTTTTTGTGTTGCCCTTGTTTACTTGAAAACAAATTCACTGATGAGCCAGAAGTAATAAATAGTTCTATTCTAGTAAACTAAGACAAGATTTCTTGGTCTCTCTCTCCCCTGCTGGAACGCTTTTCTTCCTAGTGTTTTGTTGATGAGATCTACCTTTCTACATGTAAAAAGGTTTCTCTCCACTACTTCTCCTCTCTCCTCCCATTTTATGAGGATATATTTTTGAAACTATTTCCAAAAAAAAAAACAAAAACCCAAAACCTAAAACCTCCCACACACACTCAGTTCTTTTAGTTGGAGTGAAATAGTGGCTGGAGCCGATTCATGTTGTTCCAGAACCTGTGCCACTTCACCACACGTTTACCTTGGATTTTGCTTAGGATTTCCGATACTCAAAATAGGCATTGTTTCTGCTTTGACAGGGTTTTTTTAAACGTCCAAGTTTGGTTGTCCAGCATACTGTAGTTGCATTAGTAAAGTGTTCTCATCTGTTCTACCTCTAAGATTAATGTTAGTGAGTCAGACTT